TCCATCGTCTTTCTGCCAAGGATCCCTGAAGGAACTTGTCTGTCTTTCCGTGTCGGGTGACAAGGCCCAGGCTGAGGATAAAGCTGATGGGGCCGAGGCCGTCAGAGCAGCAGCGCCAGGGCTGAGGCGACAGGCACAGCCCGGGCCCAGCTGATGTCTTTGGGCCCTACACCACCACCCACCTGTGAAGGACCAGGAATCAGAATGGGGAAAATCTCAGAAGTGGAAAAAGATGTACAGTGATTGAAAGGACTTTATGATGCAGACTTTATAGTTATTATGTATACACATATTGTATGTTCCCCCAGAATTTGTATCTTCCGGGCATGTACCGGCCTGTTCACCTCCCTGCTCCTCTGTTTCTCTGCCAATTGGCTGGAGAAGCTGCAGCGAGGGGACAGCCTCCATTCGCCCCTTCTCTCCCCGGTTCCTCCCACGCTCCTCCTCTTTTGCTCGTGTCCCTATCCTGGTTTGTCCCCCCGCTTGTCTGTCTCATGCTCCGCCCTATGTTCTGGCCCTTTGCCCTCCCGAGCTGATAAAAGACCAGGTGCACGTGTGAATAAAGCATTCTACCTTACATCCCACCTTTGTGTCCCGGACTCGTGTAATGCCACGGTCCCCCCACTTTTCGGACCGCGGCACCCACCCTGGGGTGTCACCACATCTCTCTGTGCTTCCTTCATGTGTCACCATCGCCTGGGACAGGTGTCAGTGTGGGACAGTGGGCCACTGCCTCATTGCACCCATGGTCTGTTCAGGGTCTCTGGGGGTGAACAGACCTTGCAATCTCCCCCCTCTGTGAGCTCAACCTCCACAAAGCTGGTGGGTGCTTTCCTTCCTGCCCACTCCCCAGCATACCCTTAGGCCTCCAACCTTGTTTGTACTATTTCACACACCTCCGTGCAAACGACACGAAATTTTAGGTCCACCTGCAGGGTTCAAACCAGATTGTTCCTGAGATGGGGAAGGATCTGCTAAGCCATTTTACACATTTTCAATAAATGCAGAAGTGCAGTTTGCCCTTTCCCTTCTATAAAAGGCTATTTTAGAAAACATTCCCAAAAAAAGGTAAACTGCATTTGAGAGAAGCCCAGACCATTCTGTTCTGCACTCCCTCCTAATAGTGAAGGTCCCAAATACTCAGCTGGGGCTGATACGCACTAAAAATTTCGCAGTAATGTGTGCATTGTCTGTTGAGCGTGATTTTAAAGTGTCTCTAAAATCTATTCTACATGGAAATCCACACATCCTGCCTAGCAGGAATGGGGAAGAAGTTATTTCTTTGCTAAGGGCAGTTTGGTACTTAACATATATGTGGATTTAAGTTCCCATTTGATGTTTAATAGTAAAACCCATGTCATTGGTACAGAAGAGCCTCATTAAAAAACAGTTAAATTTTTTACATTAAATACTTTCTCACGCGAAATACAGCCTCTTTTTTGTGGTATTATACTTACCCTCCCAGTGTCACTTTTTGTCCTAAAAATGACTCTTTAGTCTTGCTTTACAGTGATGGAGCAGCAAGGAGGCAGCCTGCTATGAGTTATCAGCATCTTCCTGTATTTGCCAGGAGGAGTATGGTGATGGAGGATTTCTTCCTACTTGTTCCAGGTTTGCTCAGCTTTTTATTGTTGTCTATTTCCTTACGACAGTCTGCTTCCTTTCACAGGCTCCCAACCAAAGTTTAAAAGGTGCAGAGCAGTTTCTGCTGCCTCAGTTACCACGAAAAGCAGTACTTTATTATGCAGTGAACCCCCAAGGCTTGTCAGACCTTTACCATATATATGGTGTTCACAAGCTTAACCTGAAACAGGTTGACTAATAGTTGTGTGACTACTACACAGTTATTAAAACAAGATAAAACCACTTCAGGCTTAGAGAGGCCCTAAGATCATGCAGTGTCAGGTCAATACAAACCCTCAAGGTTTTTATTATTGAAAAAAAAGTCACATTTATTGGTCTACAGTAGCGGAGGTTTTAAGGAACTGAAGCATCTTAGCATAGAAAGAGAATGGTCAGGTATTCAGAAGTAAGTGTGAAAAGAGGCCAACTGATGTCAAAAACAATATCAGAAAACAGTCAGGCTTGTATCTACCATGGAGAATGAGTGCTAAGAATGTAATACAGTGAAAGAAATCTGAAGTCTACTAGGAAAACATGGGAAGCTTTCTAACATACCATGGGAAGGAAGAGCTAGGCTGGTGTCACTACAAGGTGTAAAATGGATTTATAAGGCTCTTTGTGACTGAAAGCTGATCATCTCTGAAAAGACTTACCTTCATCATTCTTTCAGATAGCGATGACAGAGACATGCTGTTTCTGCTTTCTCATCCTCACTACTGACAGCAGACCAGGCCTAAAATTACTAGTGTGTTGGTGAGTTTGCATCTTGGAGGCTGATAATTAAATACTCATTTTGATAATTCTTTCTTAGCCATACAGACATGAGCTGTTGGGCGGAAGTTTCCAGCAGAGTGACCAAAGCTCACTGGAAGCTCACTTTGCCCTTTGGAAGGAAAACCCATGCTATGACAGGGATTTCTACACACACTGACTAAGGGACCACTGACAACTTTCAGCACTTCCCAGGAAACCTCAAGACCTCCAGTGGCAGGCTCTCCTTTGAAAGTTTGAAGAAGATTAGAGCTAAAGTTTTTGGAGATCCTCGACCTCAGGCCTGGGAATAGCCATGATCTGCATGCCATGCCTGAGTAAGCAGCTGAGAAATTCCCCTGCATTTGATTTACACACACTCTCAACACACCTCACTTTCCCCCGTACCCCCCTGTCCTCTACCTTCTGTCCTCTGCACTCTCCTGTTTCTTTTCATGTCAGAGCCAGTGAGAACACTGATTCCTCTCAAGCCTCCCCACACTGTGTTGATTTTAGAGTTCTGCTTTAAATGCCCATTCAGTTCTTTCCCTTCCTATCTTAAATCTCTGGGTGTGTGCAATTGGTCTTCCTTGACCTTGTTTCTTTTTATTTTCTTTTTTTTTTACCACTGCTGAAAAATGAGCTGTTATTTTCACACAGTTATCCAGCACATGAGGCAGACCTTCCTCCTGATGGGCAATTGTCAGCTCAGAGTCCACCTCTTCATAAGTGACACTTTATTGTGTTTCTCTATCTGTGTTTTTAACTTTATTGAATTTTGTGTGCTATGTAACGGCACTGTTTTCTGGGTGTCATGGAAGCCTTCTGCAATTCTAACCTATCAGTCATTGTCCTTGGTGCCTGGAATAGCGTAATTTCGTTGGAAACATTGTGTTCCTTCCTGTTCAATGCTGCTCTGATTTACTTATTGCTGGAACAACATATGCCCCAGCACAAATAACTACTCTCTTTCATTTTGTGTCTTGCAGGATTATTTGTGTGAGTGAGAAGTATTCTTTTGATCACTGGCTAAAGTGTTATAGAAGGGATACGAAGTTAGAAACCAGACGACAAAAAGCTGTACCATGGCACAGGTACACAAAGATTTTATAAGGCAACACTCTGTACAAAGACTAATGGTGCTACAGGTCAAACCTTTAAAACCAGAAACAAATGAAGACTATTGCACATGATGTGCATCCAAATGAATCTACTCTTTATTCCTACATACTCCAACATATTGAGGGGGTTGCAAATATCAAATATGGAAGAAAGTGACAGAGAGTTCACATTTTGTGCAGCCCTCAGATCACTTTGCTGCTTTGTGACATCCTCACTCTTCCTCTTCTATTTTCTTCCCATGCATGTCCCGACTCTTCACTCGGAGCTTGTTGACCTGCGACTCTGCAATGTCAGCCCGTTCCTCAGCTTCCTCCAGCTCGTGCTGGATCTTGCGGAACTTGGAGAGGTTGACATTGGAGAGCTCCTCCTGTGTGGGGAGAGGGAGTTGGTGGTGAGGAGCCCAGGGCAGGGATTTCACTCCTCCTGCACCTCGGGCTTGTGGGACTCCAGCTCTTCCCTGGGGGGAGGAACAAACCTCTGTCCCCCTCCCATCACTGCTCACATGTCAGCTCACCCCAACCTCCTCATCCTCCCCTTCCCAGGACCCCTCTGGGAAAAGCATCAGCAGGACTGTGTCATACGTGAGGAACAGCTTTGTCACTCGGATTTGTCACTTGTGCTCTTGTTCTCCCACTACTTGCTGCCTGATTATCAGTGTCACTTATCAGGCTGAGAAAGATCCTGAAGCATTCTGCTGCTGACTATTAGCAGAGATTCAGGAACTTCTCAGTGAGTGGATGTGGCCCCTGGGTTTGTTTGCTCTGATCTCCCATATGAAACAGGCTGTAGAACTTGCCTCAGTTCATCCCTGACTGCAAAGTGCCCAGAGCTCACCAAGGCCTCATGACACAACAGCAAAACAGCGAGGCCAAGGCTGTTGTGTCTTGGGAGTTTCTTTCAAGCCCCTTTCCTGGTGAGCTCTGGGCACTTTGCAGTCAGGGA